CACAACACTTCAATAGGTTCAATTTCACTTTGAAGTATATCCCAGTAGGAAAGAACTTTATGGCTGATGCTTTGTCCAGGCTTCCTCAATATAACAGCTCAAAGCTTAGTGTCGTCCACCCAGTCATCCCAACGAAAAGCCTCGCTGCTCCAGTTGTTACCAGAAGCCAGACCGGTTCCAATTTGGAGGTCACAAAGGACCTCGTTACAAAACTCAAGGAGGCCCTTGAAACTGATGAATGGTTTATCCAACATACAGATGAGTGCACCATGAAAGATGGTCTGGTTTGGATTGCGCCTAAATTGTATGTTCCTGCGATCATTAGGAGTCTGGTTCTTCAACGTGCCCATGATTCATGCACGGCTGGGCATTTTGGTTTTGTGAAAACCCTGCATCTCATTAAAAGACAATTTTGGTGGTCCTCATTAAAAAAGGACATTGAGTCTTATGTAGCCAGCTGCCCCACATGTGCTGCCATGAAACGACCACTGGGGAAACCCCAGTGATTGCTCCAAGGGGTGGCCAATCCCGAGGCACCTTGGAAAGAAATATCTATGGACTTCATTGTCAAATTACCGGAGAATCAAGGAAATACGGTAATTTGGGTTGTTACCGACTTGTTTTCCAACCAGGTTCATTTTATTCCTTGTTCCAAGATCCCGTCCGCTAAATCCTTAGCTAAATTGTTCATTACACATGTATATCGTTTACATGGTGTGCCGGACCGCATCATCTCTGATGGAAGGGTCCAATTTACCTCCTTGTTTTGGAAGGAGTTTTTGAAGTTGATAGGCTCCACCCAGACCCTAAGCTCCACCCACCAACCTCAGACTAATGGGGCTTGTGAAAGGATTAATTCTGTTTTGGAGCAGTACCTCCGATGTTTCATCAATTACCAGCAGGATAATTGGGTGGAATTATTGCCTCATGCTGTGGTGGCCTATAACAACTCAGTGCACAGCAGCACGGGATTTACCCCCTTCAAAATAGTGTTTGGGCATGATTTTATGCCCATTCCCAAGTTGCCTTGAGAAAAACCACAAGTTCTGTCCCTTTCCGAGTGGAGTGACCAACTCCAAGAGATGTGGCCCTTGGCGTACCGAGCGCTGGATGCGGCTCATCGGGCACATAAGAAACAAGCAGATAAAAAGAGAACAAAGCCGAGGGATTATAAAGTTGGTGATCGTGTATATTTATCCACCAAGTTTCTCCAGACCTCGCAGAAGTCTAAGAAATTGGGTCCCAAGTATGTTGGCCCATTCCCAATTGTCAATGTCATAAACCCTGTGTCCATACATCTGGAGTTGCCTAAGTATCTCAACCATGTGTACCCGATGATTCATGTCAACCTTCTGAAACCAGAACACACTTCTCCATTGCGTGCCCTTTGGCAGCTCCACCTGCCCCTCTTCTGATTGAGGGAGAGCAACATTTTGAGGTTAAAGAAATTTTGGACTCTAGGAAACATAGAAACCNAAATAAGATTATTTATAATTTTGGATAACATATTATATTGTCAAACTCAAAAGGCTTTTGATACTTAATTGTCATCGTCGTCGTCATCATCATCATCATCATCATCATCATCATCATCATCATCATCATCATCTCTCTCTCTCTCTGTCCTGCCCCCCCCCCTCGGAAGGACTGTCGTCCCTTGTAGAAAACATAACAAGGAACTTCTCGGCTCCTTGCTCCCCCCCAAATCTCTTTTTTTGTTGTTGTTGGCCATACACTCTTGCCCACCACCCCTTTGAAATGCACAAGGATGGGACAAAACAGTGCAGATCCTTTTACTAAAACCCCCTGCATTACAAAGGCATTTTAATAAAAAAAATTGTGATGACATCAGTGCCTCATCAGCCATAAACCTCACTGCACGTCACTGGTACAGTGTATGTGGTACCTTGCTCAATAGTGGAGATTATAAGAGAGATCTTGCCATCCTGGTGGACAATCACTTAAATATGAGCCAGCAGTGTGCTGTAGCTGCCAAAGAAGCCAACACAGTTCTAGGCTCCATAAAAAGAGGGATAGACTCAAGATCATGTGAAGTGATCTTAATACCACATTATAATGCCTTGATAAGGCCACACTTGGAATACTACATCCAATTTGGTCACCATGATATAAAAAAGATGTTGAGATTCTAGAAAGAGTGCAGAGAAGAGCAACAAAGATAATTAGGGGACTCAAGGATAAAACATACAAAAATAGTTGCTGGAACTGGATATGTCTAGTTTTATGAAAATAAGGAAGTCAAATTATTCTCCAAGGCACCTGAGGGTAGAAGAAGAAGCAATGGGTGGAAACTAATCAAGGAGAGAAGCAACTTAGAACTAAGGAGAAACTTCCTGACAATTAGAACAATTAATCAGTGGAACAACTTGCCTCCAAAAGTTATAAATGCTCCAATACTAGAAGTTTTAAAGAAGAGATTTGTCTGAAGTGGTGTAGGGTTTCCTGCTTAAGCAGGGAGTTGGACTAGAAGACCTCCAAGGTCCCTTCCAACTGTGTTATTCTGTTTGGTTCTCTTCTATCTGTGTCAGTGAGATATTTACGTATTTCCAGAGCATAGGAAAATGTACCCCATAATGTATGTGACTGCTCTGCACGCTATGACTCTTAAGTTAATCAGCATGTTAAAGCCTTTTTGAATCTGAGGAAACACTACGGATGTGTTTTCTCAATAGTTATCTGCAACTAATTCCATAAAGGCCATAAATTGACCTTGCCTGTCAGCCTTTGTTTTGCTGCTTGCTTTTTGGCTGCCATTGAAACTGGGAGGGAGGACATGATATTTGGGTATGGGAAATATTCTGTACAGGAGGACTGTTAATTGGGAGTTGTTCTCACTATCTACTGTGCATGTGGCAGGGAGAGGAGTTTCCCACCAAGGCCAACTGTCCGGCATACCAACCTGATGATGATATTCAAAGATGTCTCCCACATGACAGCTGTGGAGATATTGGATTGAACTATGGGCTGGGGTTACCAAGGGGAGGGGAATAGGTCATGTATTGATATCTATGCTTGCGCACGCTTTTGCTCAGATCCAGCTTTGCTTAGCTTCTATTTACTTATAATCAGTAAAAGTACTCTTAATTCTGCAAAAATGGAGTTGAATGGTTTCTTTCTTGGTTATTAAGTGAAGCAGAAATTGACACTGCCTTTTCAACAGAACACATTCTATCATAGAGGTAGAGATGGTAAGAACCGGAATAATAGACTTGGCGAGACGACACCTTGATTTCTGTGCAAGGAGAATCCTATTCTGGCAGGGCATCCTGCCCTTCTGCCACATGGTTCCTCGGGAAGTTAGGCTGCCTCCTACCTTTCAAATTGTTCAGGATCTCATTGGCCTCCCGGAGTGTGTTGCTTCCTTTCTTGGCAGCTTCTTCAGCCAAAGCTTTGGCGGCATCGGCTCGAGCCAAAAGCTGATCAGCAGTCTACGCAAACACACAATGAGTTGTCATATGCTCCCTTCTGACGCATCTGCTCAAATTCTAATGCTCAAATGGTGCAAGCATGGGAAAAGCAGTCTGTTTAAAAATGCAAGGTCGTTTTCTAGATTTATTTCTATACTATATGCATCCCATGCCATCGAAATGGGGCAGGGATAAAGACTTGCAAATTGTAATTTACTGATATCGCCCTTCCTTCTGCAACTCCCCTCCCCTCTCAACTNCAAGGGGAGGGGAATGGGTCATGTATTGATATCTATGCCTGTGGGCGCTTTTGCTCAGATCCAGCTTTGCTTAGCTTCTATTTACTTATAAGCAGTAAAAGTCCTCTTAATTCTGCAAAATGAAGTTGAGTGGTTTCTTTCTTGGTTATTAAGTGAAGCAGCCCTGACAAACAGGCTACTTTGATATTATTTGTTGCTATGGTACCAACTTCAATGCAGAAAAGATTTCTTGTTTTGATAAGCATAGGAATAAAAAAAGTTCAGCTACTAAAAGATGAAACAATTGACAGAATAACTTCTAAATAAAAAACAGATTACAATTGTTAATATTTCATCCATTTATAATAAATTGGACCAAATTATTCTTCTTGATTAATTATTTAACTCTAGAGTTAAACAAAATTCTACTTTACTAGGAGTAATATATGGAAGAAACTTCATTATTGTTCATTACCATCAGTTGTGCTCTTTGTGCTAACGTATATAGATTATATAATCATGAAGAATACCCAAAATCAATTAATTGCCTATATTTCTCTATAAAACTGAATATCAGCCATATAATCATGCCAAAATAATATATGTTATAATAATGTATAAAATAAGTAGCACTAGTGTCAGCAATGTTGTTTGAGATGTGCTAAGAATGTTAAAAGAAAAAAGAAAATTGCATATACAACAATTCATATCTTGGGCTTTCTGATCCCATTTATCCTAAGAACATTTTTCTGGTAATGCCTGAAAAAGCCAACTTTCAATTTTGAAGCACAAATCAACGGAAATTCTTTGCAACACAATGTAAGAAATTGTTATAAATAGTGTTCATAAAGTCTTTCCCTAAATTGTTTATTGGAATCATAGTTCTATAGAACTATTTTTTACAGAATGTTCCAGATGGTGTGGATTAGTCTCTGTTTTCTGATACAGAGTCTAGTTTTTCCAGCATTTGACCAAAATTGTCAAAAATTAATTTTGAAATGTAAATGCATCATTACAATATTATGCACTTTATTGCTGTTGTTAAAACAGTCATGTTCCTAGCATCTTAGATATACTGTATTATCCATTTCTCATACATAATGCTTAACATTATGTAAACAGCAGCATCAGAAAGCCACAAATGGAAAATGGAAAAAATCATATGCATATGACTATGGCTTCTATATTAAATGTAGTCAACATTTCCATTTCTTATATATATCTAAGTAATATATATGTAATATCATGAAAAGATTTTGTAAATCTTTTTAACAATATATAAATAATTAGGTACAGATTTAAATCTAAGAAGAACTACATAATAGGAGCATACCTTTAGTAGCCACTCTGACACAGTCAATTTTTGTTTCCTATAGCAGATAAAAAAGAAATGATTATTTGCTGATTTACATGCGGAAAAATAACAAAGTGTTTGGTTTTTTGGGGGTGTAAAACCACTGTTGTGCTAAAAAAAACCAGGTCAATTTTATTTAACATCCTTGTGCTTAACAATTGGCTCTCTAGTTTAGTTCATTTCCCTGTTAAAGTTAAATGAATGAAAATGTACTTGGACATGTAACATCAATACTTCACTTAATATTAAACTAGAACATGAATGAGATATCCCCCCCCCCCCTTCTGACAATACATTGACCTTGGGATATTTTATTTTCTTTACAGTCAGTTAGATAGTTCAAGGCAACATACCAGACAATGGTATGGGAAGGAAATAAAAATCAATGATATCTCACATTTCTGCACTATCAATGCATTGTAAGACATGGCCCATTATAGTATTTGGCAGAAAACATTCTCTGCAGTCAAGGGAAACAACTGAAGCTTATCAAGAGATGAAGGGTTCTTGTAGGTATGCCCAGAAAATGGAAAACAATTCTAGTTTCTGTTAGATAAAACATGATCTGCAAAGGAGGGGACTTGTACTTATTTTTGTACTTCAGTTTAACTTGCTTTGCTTATTATTTGAAGGGGGAAAAAGGCCCAAAAGTTTGTATCAACACACCCATGAGGAACAACGTTTAGGCTGATGAAGTGAGATAATATAGTTGAAGGAACAGTTTAGTATGGGAAATTGAAAATAGTATAAATAAGTACATTGTGAACAGAATTTTCCTGCTATTTTTTCCATTGATATAACTATTGAATTCTTCTCTGTTTTATTTCTGTTCCAAACAGTGGTGATTAGATAGGTAGATTAGGGGTGTGTGTGTGAGAGAGAGAGGGGGGGGGGGAGAGGGGGAGAGAGAGGGGGGAAGGGAGGGGGAGAGAGAGGGGGGAAGGAGCAGGGAGAGAGAGAACGTTTCATTTTTGGCATAAAGTAGGAAAGCATGGACTGTATACAACACTAAAACTGTGCTCTCGCACTTACCCCATTTGCTCTGCTGGCAGCTTGAAAATAAATGCTGTAACTTTTATGAGGAAGAAGAGGAGTATTCCAAAAGCCACTGTAGGTTTTGTTGTCACCAATAGTAAAAGGTTGAGCCATTTGAATGCTGTGGGCTGGAAACTCAGCTGCAAAATAATACTGGGAATTCAGAATTGAAGCGTTCTGGAAGTGAATTGGCACAGGGTAGCACTTCAGGATTTCTGTGGTTTTCTTGGTTCTGCGAGGGCGTTCCTCCTCAACAACTATTTGGTAGACACTAGCAAAGGTTGAAAAGACAAGAAATGAGAAAAAATGGGGTTAAATTTAGAATCCTTGAAAAAAAACCAATCATATGAACTAAAATTTATGATAAATAGTTGTATGTTTATGACATACAACACAGGCATACAATACAAAATACAATATGTATGTATGTATGTCTTTTGTAGGTCTGTAAAGCAAAGGACAACTGAAATAAGATTGTAAGCACAGTCGTGATTTCACTTAACCACCACTTTACTTAATGCCGGAGTTGATAAAATGAATTATGTTTGCTAAATGAGGAATACCTATATTATTCTCATTCCCCAACCCCAACTCCATTTTCAAAGATGAGCTCTACTAGTGGAGGGAATTTTCCTGCTTTATTAAATCTGATGAGGAAGAGATATTTATGTTAGTCTTAAAAACAGTTAATTGTACATTAGAAAATGGAATGTTTTAAATCTCCCAACCTGCAGGCAATAATTCAAATCTTTCTGCATACTTGCATTGAAGTATATAATGCAACATGTAGTTTGACCCAGAAACATAATCAAGTAAAACATCAATGGTGCTGATAATGTATTCAATTATTTAGCTTCTGAACATTGAATGACTTAAGAAAATGGAAATAAAGAATATTAGGATTTTGTTTAAATTTGAACATGAATTGACTTTATATTGCTCTTAAAGATGTAGAAAAAATAGAGTTATCCTTTCAATATTATACTTTTTAAGATTCAGCCTGCAGTTTAAAAAAATGTGTAAAGCGGAATGGAAGATATCCTTCTGGTAAAGAAGTATGTGTATGCTGCACTCCAAAACATGTGAATTCATCCTGATACACATTAATGAAACAAGTTGATTAAAGTAATTTCAAACCCAAAATATCTTTTCATCTTTTCCTTAAAAAGATAAATTAGATCTACGACCAACCAGACCTCAAATATATTTGCTCTTTAATAATTTAAACACTGAAAGGTTACAAAGCTCTTTTCTGTTCCCCTTTATCAATGTCCAAGTGATAATGAAAAATTGCTAAATTCTGTCTGCTGTCCCATTTTCACACAAGACTGTCTTCCTGATGTAAATTACCACCTTATAAGCACCTAGGTCAGTGTTAACTTCACTCTATTCTATGAGTTATATGTTTTAAATCTGTATAAACGAGTTCGTATTGTTAATGAATGTTACAAGATATTTTGAGTTACATTCATAACTTGAACTCTCTTTTGAAATCTTATTAATGGGCATACTTTCTGGTGAGATATATATTAAGAAAATATGGCTCTGGTAACCATTGAACCATATCTCTATATATCTTTTCTACTATAATAATTTCCCAGATGACTAAAGTTGCACTAGGTCTTTTAGCACATTTAGCATTTCACCTATTGAATGGGTCAGAAATAAGATTCATCTAGATTATATGACTTCGGTAATGACTGACATCATTTATCCTAATTAACACAAAAAAGAGTTCTCCACCTTCAAGGGATCTGAGTAAAAAGGATCTTATGTGTTCTATTATTATGTCTTATGATTAATAGGGAGAGGTGGGATAGCTCAGTGGTTAAGGGCTGGTCAGCTGGAAAGCTGGCAGCCTGCTGAATCACGTAAAGGGGTGAGCTCCCATCTTTGCCTACCTGCAAAGTTCCAAAGCATGCAAATGTGAGTAGATAAATAGGTACCACTTTGGTGGGGAGGAAATGGTACTCTATGTACCACCAAAGTGGTACGTTTGTGGAATTGTCTTCAGCCAGCACTGGCTATGGCCTTTAAATGGGGATGATCTCTGTCCCCTATAGTTGGTAATGACTAGTGGAGTAAAATACGCAAGGACTTTTTTCCCCTTTTTCTATGACTAATAGAAGTATGCTAACAAATTCTAATTCATTATGAAGGAGTAATTTATCTAGAGTAAAATCTCTCTATGAGTACTTAAAATATCTCAGCACAGAAATAAACACAGAAAAGAAAATAATTCACCAGTATCTTATTGATTTCCAGACAGTCTAGATTTGGCATATCTTGTGAAAGATTGCATGAGACCCAGGGAAAAATGACTTCCTGGCCTTCACAGAGGCGGCAACTAGAATGATGGGAAAGTAGCCTTCACTGTACTTGAGTGATGAGCTTCAGGGATACCGACAATCTATTTCCCAGCCCATGACAGCTACTATTAGAAGCAACTACAGTAGCCCTGATCTAGATTTATAGATCTTGTTGGTTACTAATTCTTCCAGTACAACAGGAAGAAAATTTGGCTTTTCAGAATTGCAACTGATTGAAATTTTCTTTCCCATGCAAACATATCTTTGAGATGTTTTATTACTATAATAGCGCATTACTTTGCACTTCACATCTTTATTTAATGATATTTATTCTTTAAGAAAATCAATACTTTCTTATTTGGAAGGGCAGTAGATTCCCCCTCTCCTTTTAATATTGATTTAAACAGTTGACTGGATTGTTTAAGATTAAACAAATGCTGTCATGACTAGAAATAAACCTTTTGTCTTCCTATCCTCTTAAGTCTTTGCAACATCCTAACCAGGATGACCAAGGATAAGGGATGCTATACTTATAGTTCAGCACTATCAGAAAGAACCAGTGATGGATTAAGGCTCACTGGTAACCTTAGCACTGACAAATCTTGGTGCCCCTCCTTTGTACATACAATACAAATCTTGGTTTTTTTTTTCTTTCTCAACTTTGTGGTACCCCCTTTGGGCCCGGTGCCCTAAGCCCATGGTTAGTCTGCTTAATGGTTAATACACCACTGGAAAGAATGCATTCTGCTCTCTTGTTCACAATAATTCTTTCAAACCTGGTATTAAGAAATTACCCTTCAAAACAGTTGATTGTTGATTTCATGTTATTATTATTTTTTATGCCACCTTTATTACTTTATCAGTAACTCAATGTAGTGAACGTACATATTTTCTCTTCCTATTTTCCCCACACAACACTGTGAGGTGGGTTGGACTCTAAGAGAATGGCTGGCTCATGTTTTTTTTCATGTCTAAGTGCAGGACTAGAACTCACAGTCTCCCGGTGCCTAGGGCAGCCCCTTAACTATTACACCAAACTGACTCTCATAGATGATGCTCAATTCTTTATTGGAAGTTGATGGTGCAAGAAGTAGGCTTGCAAACCAAGTTCTGGTTCCTCAAAATTATCCATGCTGCAACTCATTATTTTCACCTTTCTTTTGTAATGTATTCACCAGCAAATGGAATTAAGTTGAGGCTGTTCATTCAAACTGAGGAGGCTATAAATCTCTGAAGTAAGCCAAATTATTATTTTTCTTCTAGTTTCCTGCAAATGGACTCCACAAATAAAGCAGAAAAACTGCCCATGTAGTCTTATAACAGGAGGAAATAAACGATAGCTTAATTTCATCCTCTAAAGATGAAATACACAATACAAATTCTCCAGTAACTTGGATAAGATATTCTGTAACACTTCCAGCCTGGCAGGAGGAAAAATTGAACGAAAGCATGTTTATATGCGTGTTTGTGTATGTTTGTGCATCTGCATGAGTGTATGAATAAAATCTTTAAGCTTCATTGGGACCATCCAACCATTTCACAGGAATATTTCCAAAGATTTAAATTACTATTTACAAAGGGGATTTTCTGCCAAGAAAAGATCCAAGAAAAGTCTTTTCTTAGTGCTCCTATGCACACAGACAAAAAATCCCTGTGGTTCCACTGTTAAGGAAAATGGATCGTCAATGGAAGGTGAAGGCATTTTTTGCCTCTGTGTTGTCAGGAGGGCATTTACAATGAGACTGAGACCAATTATTTACTTCCTTAGGGAAGAAAAATGCTTCCTAATTTATATTACATCTTGATTGCAGCAAAGCCTGGGGAGATTCAAAACTGCGCATCTTTCTGTTCTGTATAATATGCTTTTTTGCTAAGTACATGAAATGCAAGAGTATTTCCATAGCTCATTGTGATACATACATTTTAATATTTAATTATTCTGGGCTGCACTATACCTGACAAAAATTAATCATTTTGCCTTTAACAGAAAAGGAAGCTACAAGAGGCCTCTGTTCATATAAGGAAAGCAGGAAGCATGTCAACACAGGATAACTATATTATGGCCCAATTAAATTCCCAGATTCTTCAGTTTAGACTGAATATTTTTCTAGTTTCTGTTCCAATAAATGCAACATATGTAAAGTGTAAAATCCCATTTTTAAAATGCCAGACTTATGAAATGTTGAACTAGTCTTTGCTAAAGTACGAATGGTGTGTTTGGATATATAATTTTCTTTAATTATTATTTAAGTACTGTCCCTTGTTTGAAAAATGGACTTTTATCAGCAATTTGAAGTCAGTTGTAACAGGCTTACAATTGCAAGAAAAAGTAAGGCCAACACCAAATCAGGCAATGGATCATCATTCATACCATATCACTAAGAAGAAATATGTAATAGGATTTATCACAAAGTCACTAAAGTACAAAAATACAAACAAAATACAACAGTCATAAATTCTTTTACCGCAAAACAGAAAAGGCTAAAATAGACTCTGCTCCATAGGAAACCTATGTAACAAAAATGTGGATTTTCTGTGTTTTGAAAAATTAGTTACTGGTATTAGTATTAGACCCAGAGAATATTATGACTGCATCTAGATATAACATAATAGTATTCATTAATATATTTGATTGTATTTTGAGTACCGGTATCTTGAAACTATTTTTTTTTTAAATATGCAGTAAGTATGTGAAATGCATTTTGATTTACATATGCAGATGAACATCAACAGTTATTTCTTTAAAATGTATCATATTGGTAAGTATTTATTATTCACTACATAATAAAAAGCTTTTTTAATCACACCATCAAATACACTTGACCTAACCAGATTTTGTTCATAAAATGACACACACACACACATACGTTACAACTAGCCTTGCAGATACTTTTTCACATTCCATATACTGTATATGATAAATGGATCTCAACTGATGAATATTCCATTTTCATTACTTTAATTTCTCTTGGTCTGACTGTGATCTTGATAAGATCAGTCATAAATTGCTTTGGAATATTAGCTGGGAACCATAAATGCATTTTGTGTCCTCTCAACCATAACTCATTACAGGAAAGTAACCTGGCATCAGTAAGTCACTGGAACTTAAAAACCCATATATGCAACTCAATATCCTGCTGCTAGGCTATTTAGTGATAAAAATCTGATATAATAAAATATTAATTACAGCTGAAAGGTTGGGTGAAAAATATGAACTCAATTACTAGCCCATATTATGAACAAAGGGCAAAATGGAAAAAAAAAACCAGTTATGGACATTTGAGATAATAAAGTAATAAGTAAAACATTAGAATGGATCTGAGAGTTCCCTAAAAGGCCACCTACTATTAATCTTTACATCTGGCCTAGAATTCCAAGTGAGCAAACCTGGTTGGCAGCACTTCTGTCTCATTTCACTAAATTATTATTGATGGTGGTGTCCTGGAATTCTGTTCCCCTTTCAACAAGGGTTGAAAATTATATACACATGCTACTTCCACCAAATATTCACCAAATAATTTATTAGAGTGTAATTTATCATATTTATGTTTTTGAACCTTTCTTCCTACTATGTGTGTCACTGCAGAATAAAGTCCTCTTGAATATGCATATGGCATAAGGAGGAGTTAATGTTAGGTTTCTTCTGTGGTTAAATTAAAAATGCTGTTTTTTGCACATTGCAATGTTAGCTTTTGAAAGGCATTTCCTTGCCCAATATTAACCATGTTTTAGAGACAATATGACAATTTTAGCAGCTGTAATACTACTTTAGAACTGGCCATATTGGCCTGTAACTGTGAAAAACGACGTAACACGACTTAGATGTGGATTTCAAGAATACCTACTGAGGAATTCCCTCAGCCAGATGTTAACACTACGATCAGTATAACCTTGAAAGTTGGGGTGTTAAACGAAAGCCTTTGGATATGTTCTCAATGATCCAGGCAAGCTATCTGCATTCTGGTAATCAAAAAATTAGTACTTCCTAGACCCTGATAGATGACATTGTTTGACCATAGGAATATGGAGTGCACCAATCCTGCCAGACCAAATCAGCTGAGCAGATATTATTAGCTCTATGAAGTGTACCAGACCAAAATACAGATGCCCAACAGAAGTACCTCTTGGTTAACCACCATTTGTTCAGTGTCCATTTGAAGTTACAGCAACACCAAGTGAACGCTACTAATGCCTGGTCCCCAAAGTTACGGCCATTGCAGAATTGCATTGAAAAATTCATGCGCTTGGCACCACTTTCAATTTTAGGGGTGTTTTCTCACTGACCTATTTTGTCCCATCTCTGCCCTTTTGGCTGTCCCACACAGTGGCCTTCCTTAGCAATAGCGGCACTGGGATTGAACTAGAGGTGCAGAGCCTTCAAAATTTTCAGCTGGTCACTCCCACCCCTCCAGGCCTCTTCCTTAGCCCCAGTGCCACTGCCACCAAGAATTGCTTCAAGCTATGGTCAGTGCCGCCAGGACAAAGCATCATTCACTCCCAACACCATGTACTCTACAAGCCTGCTGCTGACTTCCACCATTTTGCTCCTCCTGCTGCTGAGGCTTTTTTCCAAGACCATCTCTACTCTTCTCCAAATAGCGCACATTGCTCTTGCGATGCTGCAGAAGGCCTCAGCAGCTTTCTGAAGATGTTATAAACCATCTTGACAATGGCCTGTGCTATTTTGAGAATAGCACAAACTGTCTCAGAAAGAAGAATTAGTTTGCCCAGCAACTGCTTCATATAGGGACAGGCTAGTCACACCTCAAAACAGCAGGAGGAAGACAACAAAGATCATATACAGGTGAAATTTGAAAAATTAGAATATTGTGCAAAAGTTCATTTATTCCAGTAATACAACTTAAAAGGTGAAACTAATATATGA